TGTGTGTGTGTGTGTGTGTGTGTGTGTGTGTGTGTGTGTGTGTGTGTATACAGTATATTATGCTGTGTGGTCTGGACAAACTCGTCATCTGCCAGCTCACTGTCCGCCCACCCCCATCCTCAGCCCCCTGCCCCTAACCTTCTGCCCTCACACACACTCACACACACACTGCCCATATGGAGCAGTTGGCGCCCAAAAGCTTCCAAAGCAGCCGGACCCATTCCCAGGGCAGAAGGTGAGGGTCCCCACAGCCTGCTTTGTGTGTGTGTGTGTGTGTGTGTGTGTGTGTGTGTGTGTTTATCCATCCACCGTGTCCTCAGGGGCTTGAGCCCCGGACAGACTACCGCACCGTCCTATCTGTCTGTCCTCGCTGTGGCGCTTATGTGTGTATTTGTCCCGACTGACTGCATCCCTCGTGTGCGGCAAGGACAGCAGCAGAGGACTGTGGGTCCTCCAAGCACAGGCCAGGGTTGCAGGGAGAGCAAACGTGTGAACCGCTGCACCCAGTTAACAGCCAACCACATAGAGGATGTATTCTGAGTGGATTTTGGTCACTTTTTATTGTTTTGGCTACTTCATACCTCGTACATCACACCAAGAGGAAGGAATAAGCAGCATTTGAACAGCCTCTAAGTTAATTATGCAAAGCAAAAAACATAAATCACACAGTTTGTCACAGAAATGTAACTTCAGATTTAGGCTGCAATTTTCTGCATGAATCCAAAACGATGCAGCAGCTATTTTTGTTTAACCTGCAGGATGTTCTTTACAAAGATAAAGTGTGTGGTATGCTTGCTTTCCGTCAAACTTAATTTAGTAGTGGTGAATTATACTCTAATTGTGTTTGTGTGTGTGTGTGTGTGTGTGTGTGTGTGTGTGTGGGTCGCCAACTGCTCCATATGGGCAGTGTGTGTGTGAGTGTGTGTGAGGGCAGAAGGTTAGGGGCAGGGGGCTGAGGATGGGGGTGGGCGGACAGTGAGCTGGCAGATGAGGGTGTGTGTGTGTGTGTGTGTGTGTGTGTGTGTGTGTGTGTGTGTGTGAGAGAGAGAGGGGGAAAAAAAATAAGAGAGTTTGTGCCTGGCTGCCCAGAGAGAGCCAAGGGTGGAAGTTGTTTTTCTGCCCCCTATGGTGTGAGTGTGTGTGTGTGTGTGTGTGTGTGTGTGGGTGTGGGTGTGTGGGTGGGTGGGTGGGTGTGCACGCTTGGAGCAGCCTGGGGCCATCGGAGGGGGCCTGGGGAGCCGTGGAAGGAGGGATGGAGCGGGATGGAGGGAGAGGAGGTCAGCAAGGGTCTCGCTGGGTAAGGTGCAGGTCTGGGCCGATGGCCAAACAGAAAGGTGGAAAGGTGAGCGAGGCGGTCGGGAGGTGGAAGGAAGGGAGCAGGAAGACGGGCTGATGGAAGGATGCAAATTTGAGCAGGTAGACAGCTATACCCAAGGTGAACACATCCATTGAACTCGTTAGAAAGCAGGTTTCCATGACACTATTACTTAGGTTTACATTGTTGATATTTGGAGAAACAGCGCTGTTTGCATATTTTCGGTGTAACTCCTAATGAGGACATCACTTGCTTATTCTGAATTAGATGAAAGTAAGGATGAAAGGTATGGTAAAACCTGAGATAATTCCTTTGATACAAGAATATTCAAACATTCAAGGCTTTGGTTCCAATACATATTCTTTTTCTTGGGGCGTTTGTCATCCTCAAGAAATGTTACTTTATTTTGACAGTCAATCGCGTGTTTAACTTATCCGATCACATTTTACATTATTCATTTCTAATGTTAATTCATACTTTTCTGCATGTAACAGTAGGCAGTATGCAGCTTTAGCACTTGCAGTGGGAGCCGGAACCTTTTTTTTTTTTTTTTGCTGCTACCGTCAGAGCTCCTTTGATTCCAACATCAAAGCAAGAGGAAGGAGAGAAAGCACGACGTACATGGATTATATTTCCATTTCAGGCATTTAGCAGCCGCTGTTATCCGGAGCGAACTAATTGAACTCATTTTCTTGAGTGCTGGTTCCATGTCAGCCCATCGAGTCGTTTACTTCATCAGTTTGCCACTTTTACAGCCTCGTATAGAATATTTCAAAAAATGCCGGCTAGTTTCCAGACTCACATTTTGGAATGGTTGAAACCGTTCACGATCATTAAATCTGGAGATCACAATAGTCTCCAAAGTTTATTTTACCCAGAGTTCCATCTGATAAACTATGCTGCTTTGATGCCATTTCCCTCTGTGTGACAGTCATGACAAAGCAACTGAGTTTAGATAGGGGGCAAGTAGACGGGGGAGGCAGAAACATGAAGAGAGATTGATCAGCGTGTGTGTCTCTTCATTAGAGTGTTTCACCAAGGCTGTGTCCTCCACACGTTGCCACACTGTCTGGCCTATTAGAGAGCCATGTGGGGAGTGTGTGTTGTTTGCATGTGTGTGTTTGTGTGCGTCTGCCGTTTCAGGTAGACTCAGGCGGTCCGTTTAGTTCCTTTCTGGTCTTTTCCATTTCTCATCACAGACCCCTGGTTTCTCCTCTCCTCTTCTTTCTTGTCTCCCCTTTCATACCGCCATCTCTTCCCTCTCCTCTGGAGTTCAGAGTCTGTCCATCTGGAACGTCCTCCCCCCCCCTCTCTCTCCCTCGGTCCCGTCCAGGCCGAGAACACAGGGGTGAAGGCCAACACCAGTAGGGGGAGAGACGGCGGGACGGAGGGAGAGATGTCAGCGCTATAATGAGTAACAACATGAAAGCTGACGGAGGGAGGGAGCGAGCAAGGGAGGGAGGTAGTGGAAGAGAGATGAAGACAGAAGAGTAGAGGGACTGCTGGGGACAGAGGGAGGGATGAAGGATAGAGGGAATGGATGGGAAAGGAGAGGACTGCAGTGTGAGAGATAAAGCGGTGGCAGAGCAGTTGGGGCCCTGTGGTCCTCCACTCCGCTCCTCTCCTTCGTTTTCATTCGCCAGAGAAGAACAGAAAGGAGGAGGAGAAGGAGGAGACGACGGGGGTTTGAACAGCATGTGTCGGCGTCCGCCTGCTCCTGCCTGTTACTCTTTCTCTTTTTCTCCCCCCCCACAACTACTTTTTCGCCCTCTTTTTTAATTTTTTTTCCCACTCCAACACCCCCTCCCCCCTCCGCAACCAGCCATCCTCCCCATCTTCTCTCGAGGATTCTTCTCTAATTTAACTTTTCATTGAAATTTTCCTCGCTCCCCCATCCCCATCCTCCAGTTTCTCCCAGTCTGCCATTCGGCCTTGTCTTGCCAGGTCCCCTCGCGGCCCTCTGACAAAGGCGCCGTTAAAAAGCCGTGTGATCCTCCATTTTAGCGCCAGCCACGCTAGTCAGAGGATTAGGGCTCTTTAATGACGCTAATCTCTCCTCCCCTTCTTTCTCCACCCCCCCTCAAAAAGAAGTGATTTCTCCCTCTTGCTCTGAATCTCTCTTGTCTCTCTTCCTCCCACTTTCCCAGCTCACAAACTTTACCATAACAGACTCATACTGGTGTTCCCATAATGACCCCCATGTGTCCAGACCAGCACTGTGAAGAAACACTTTCACTGTTTTTTCAAGGGTACATTCACACCCCCTTCCTCTTTACTTTGCTAAATATAACTCGTACTTGAAATCAAATCGTTTAGCTGAACCTCGACTGGCCGTATTGGGTCGAGTGTTCGACTGTATGCTCTGTATCTCCGGTTAATGTTGAGTGAATCCTGTCCGACACAGCAGAGAGAAAGAGGGGGAAAAAAGGTGAGCGTGTACAATATCTGTGTTGGAGACAGTATCACTAATCTGTCTCAGGCTGCACTTAAAGACGTGTCCCCTGTTGAGTCGGCAGCGGGAGTTGTCTGGATTGGCGTTTTATAGACGCACTGTATTTTAGCACCAGCCCTGCTCCGTGTAGATGGTATATCTATTCATCCTGTTGATGTCACTGACATGGAGACAAATACAGTCCGCTCTGTCTCTTATTCACCCATGGATTTGATGCTTGTGTTGTGGGTGACTAAGTGGCATAAAAAAATTAACTATCTGTAAAAAACGGAAGCAACCCTCAGCTCTTTGGACTGTAAAGGACAGGAAGAATTTAACATCCATACTTGATCTGCACTGCGTTCCTAATGCAGCTCAAATGTTGGTTTTTAGATTTTTCATAATCTCATTCTAACTGTGTATCAGGAGACAATGCGTGGTGCATTTACAGGGATTGTTTAACATTTATCACTTGTACAAAACCTTTAAAAAACACATAAATGAAGCATGCTACCATTGATTATTTTGGCTACTTGTCATTTGTTACACCCGGCATTTTGACATCTCACAGTAGGAAAGCACAGGCGTACGAATAAAATAAATGTTGGCTGAATTCCATTTAGCTGCTTCAGTTCCAGGGTCGTGGTATTATTCATGCACACTGTCATGACTTACCGGGACACTTGAATATAAGCAGAGTCATCGTCAACGTTGCTAATCGCACCTTTTGAAGTCCAAATGCTTGCTAAGATTCCACCTGATCATCTGACCTGACCTTGATGGATTTGGGATCGATATAGATGGAGGTTGACGTGTATAGGTCGCTTTCAGGCCGGGCATACTAGAAAATGTCACGGGTCAGGGTGGGCGGGCCAAAAAGTCAAAAAAGCAGCGTTGTGAGTAAGTTATTTATAACTTCAAGAAACATTTCAAGCAGTAGTTTGCCTTCTCGTCCCCCTTCGCTGTCTCCTTTCCTCTTTACACAAAATAAACTAATCTGGAATGAATGCCGGAGTTTTGTTGGTGACAATAAATTGTCAATATCTTTCAAACATTTAGCAAAATTATACTTCTCCCCCCCTAAGTTCCACTTTCATCCTCTCAAGGCTACTCATCTCATTGTCTCTCATGTTCCCTCATCCTCCTGCTTTCATACTCTCAATTTCACTGTCTCCCCCATCTCTCTCTCTCACTCACCCTTTCGTTGTCACCTGCTCTTCCTCCCTCTTGCCTCGCTGTTCGGCTTCATCTCTATTTTCTTATGTTTTCCTAAACCTTTTTTTTAGTTTCCTTCTAGCTTCTAGTCAAATTTATAAGTCATGCTTTCACTATTTTTTTTAAACCCAGAACCCCCTGCTGATTCTTATTTGCTCATCGCAGTGCCTACATTTTCTCTGCGATCGATTCATCACAAGGATCCGTTTTCCACCCCCTCTCAGCTAGGCCTAACACCCAGTGGACTAGACACACACACACACACACGGGAGACGCACAAGAGTGTAGGTTGAGGTAAAACGGTGCATTGGAGAGGTTTCTAAAATTATCAGCAGGAACTTCTCTTCTGCACACGTCTGTGCTGTGAGTGTTTGCATTTGCACACTCATTGGCCTTAGGTCCGACTACTTTTTCTCCCAATCTCTCCGTCCTAACACTCTATTTCTATATTTTCTCTCTTTGATTTGTTGCTGGCCTAATTGATACAGCTATCAGATCAAAAAGCAAAGAAAACACCCCGCCCCCCCCTCCCTTGCTCTCTTCTTTACATTTTTCAGGCAAATGCTAAATAGCCTCACTGCGCTGCTTCACGGAGTGCACAAAGAAGAACAGAACAATATCAAGCGTTATTCAGTTCCCTCTTTTGTTGCCTCAAATCCATTCTGAAGTGTCTATTAAAGGAGTCGTGGCCTTTTTGTCGCCCGAGCACCAGACTGCACAGGAGGGGGAGAAAGAGGGAGAGAGGAAAAAAGGAAAAGAGCAACGCATAATCTCCTATGTATGGCAGATAAGAGGAGAGAATATCGCCATCTTTCCGCTCTGCTCTCCACATCTCCTAATCGCTTTTCCGACGTTTCAATCTGCCAAGGCCCTAATGAAAATATGATGAGGCGGATCTATGGTCCTCGGGGACGGATGGAGGGATGGGAGGTGAGGGGAGGGGAGGGAGGATGGAACGAGGGATGGCTGCAGAGGGAGGATGAAGGGAGAGAAAATACACTCTGTCCTTATTTCTGGGCTCCGTCGGGGATACATAGTTCTTGGAGCTTTCTATTTAGATGTTGCTGCTGCCGGAGTCTGTCTCACTCTTCTGTTTCATTCTCTCTCTTTATCTCTGCCATCCTCATTTTCCCTCTGTATATGTGTGTGTGTGTGTAACTGGGATAAATGTGTTTATTTTTTAGTTTATATTCCTTTTTTCTTATTTGAACTCCCACCGGCTGCCTCTCCCGCCTTCTGCCTTCCAAGGAAGATGTAACTTCTTCTTAATCATTCTAATGCTCCCTGTTTTACCCCCACTTTCCTTTCTGTCTGCGCTCGCCTATCTCTTTTTTATTTTTTATATAAATCCTGCAGCTGTGTACAAAATGTGTGTGTATATATGCGTGTCTGGCTGCAGATGAATCAAAGGCTTTTTTTAAACATCCCGTGTCTGTTTCCCTTTCTGTCAGACGGTGATGATGACCCAGCAGGGCTGTCCTGGGTGCCTTCCTCACCCTCCAGTAAAGACGTGGCATCGCCCTCACAGATGCCCGACGGCTGCTGTGACCTCGGCATGGCCACCGGCGGCGAGGAGGAAGGAGGCGCCGGTCTGCCGTACCCCTGCCAGTTCTGTGACAAGTCCTTCAGGTATAACACTCGCTGTCGTTCACCTCCCCGGGATGCGGGCCGGTTCCGTCTCGGTGCTCGTCGTAGACTATGACACTGATATCATATCTGTCTGTTCAGCTGCCTCCTCATATGCTGAATATCAATGTGTACGTGAATAAACAGTATTCTCAATATCGCCATGGTAACATGGAGCACTAAGGCAAACAGTGAAAGGAATGAGGTGAATACATTTCCCACATACATCTCCAGGGACGAGCTAAGACCCACTTTAAGAGCAGCTGTCACACACACCATAAAGTCATCATCATGATCCTCTGTATTACTTCTTACACCCAGCTGTCCTCTCTATTCCTCGGATTAGATGGATGCAGTGATATTAGCAATAGTTTGAATTTCAATTTGCTTTTGATACCAAAGACGACCAGGTTATATTCATCAGGGAGTGATGTGTCCAAGCAGCACAAACCAGCAGTCACTTTCATCTTTTATGTGCTTACTTCCTTAAATTGAAGGTGGTGTGGAAGTTTTCATTTTGTCAAGCAACTTCGTAAACTTGAAAATGCCTTTTGTGAATGACCGTCCGTCTCCCATTGATTCTCCTCAGCCGTCTGAGCTACCTGAAGCGCCACGAGCAGATCCACAGCGACAAGCTGCCTTTCAAGTGTACCTTCTGCAGCCGTCTGTTTAAGCACAAGAGGAGCAGAGACCGCCACGTCAAACTCCACACAGGTAGATAACAAGCCCTCCAGGCCCGCTAAGTCTGCATCGGCATAGAGAGACCAAATGGGTTGCAGATCCACATTCATTTGATGAACGTGGATTATTTTGTTATTCAAGAATTGAACAATGGAAAACACCAGAATCAGACTTGGCAACACATTTGTTCTGACAGTGTTTTGGGGGTCTACAATATATTGGGTTTGTTTTTCTGATCCAATCACCTCTCATAAATATGCTGCTTGACACAGGAGACAAGAAGTATAGTTGTCAGGAGTGTGAAGCTGCGTTCTCCCGCTCTGATCACCTGAAGATCCATCTGAAGACACACAGGTATCTGCTTCTGATCCTGTTCTTAGAAACTCTTCATGTTGATCCAAATTTTCATCTGACGTTCATTTTACTTTCTTTTTACTCTTGACTCTTATTTGACTCTTTCTATTTAGATCTTAAAAATTGCTTTTGATTCGTAATTTATTTTTCTGATTCGTGATTGTTTTTGTTCTTTACATCATTTATCGACACCTCCAGCTCCAGCAAACCGTTCAAGTGCAGTGTGTGTAAGCGTGGCTTCTCCTCCACCTCGTCACTGCAGAGCCACATGCAGGTAAACGCTTGTTTGATATTTTCTGTTAATATAACTGTTAAAATGCCTCGATGCTTCAACTCACTGCTGACATTTTCTATAGATAGTCTATCGTGTAGTTAAAATCTGATAGTGGGACAGCCCTTATTTCCATTGTCGCTAGTGCAATTACCAAAATATATTACAATGGCAAATAATAAAAATCAGCAATGATTTCTTTTTAAGGCCCTAGCTTACTGTCATCAAATGAAACCTTTGGCAGAATGTTTTACAACACATGCTTCTTTAAACCTTGACTACCCTCTGACCTCTGGCAGGCTCACCGCAAGAACCGCGAGCACCTTGCACTGAGGAGCGAGAGGGATGGAGGGAAGAAGGGAGCAGGAGGAGACACTGACCTGGAGCAGGACCTGTATATGTGTGATTACTGCGAGGAGACGTTCAGCCAGACGGACGAGCTGGAGAAACACGTCCTGACCAGACACCCCCAGCTGTCTGACCGAGCTGACTTGCAATGCATCCACTGTCCAGAGATCTTTCTAGATGAGGCGTCTCTCCTCACGCATATTGAAACGCAGCATGCCAACCGCAAACACAAGTACTATAGACTTACTTTTTGAAGTTGTCAAACCACTGATTTTCATTCATGTGCAGTAATGGTATGTAGCTTGCGTTTAACTGGTCTTTTGCTACTACCCCCCAGATGTCCTGTCTGTTCGGAACAATTCCCATCTGTGGAGGATGTCTACTGCCACTTAGACAGCCATCGCCAGCCTGACTCTTCGAACCACAGCGCTGCCAGTCCTGACCCTGCGCTGGGCAGTGTGGCCTCTATGAGCTCGGCCACTCCGGACTCTAGTGCCAGTCTGGAGAGAGGCTCCACGCCGGACTCTACCCTAAAGCCAAGCCAGGGCATCGAACGAGGCCGCAGAAGAAACATCGACTCTGTGGAAGATATTGTGATAAGCCTGGGTCATCAAGTGGGAGGTACGGTACAGTCAGTCACTTATCTACAGAGCAGCCAGTCCAGTTACATCTATGATTTGATGGCCAAAGCTTGGTTTATATGTTCAGACTACCTCTGTGTATTTCTAATTCAGTGGGTTTACCTTCCTATCTCCACAGGGGGAGGGGCAAACTGGGCTAAAGTGACGTACTCTTGCCCTTACTGCTCGAAGAGAGACTTCCACAGCCTGGCGGTGTTGGAGATCCATTTGAAGACCATCCATGCAGATAAGCCGCAGCAGAGCCATACGTGTCACCTCTGCCTAGACACTCTGCCAACGCTTTACAACCTCAACGAACATGTGCGCAAAGCTCACCGTACCAGTGGAGGAACCATAGGCACAGCGGTGGCGGCTTTTCCCCTGCTGCAGTTCACTAACGTCACAGCGTTCCACTGTAATTACTGCCCAGACATGTTTGGAGACATCAACTCTCTGCAAGAACACATCAGAGTGTCGCACTGCCTGCCTGGTGGGATTGTGGCGGGGTCTACCACATTAGGTGTGTTGGTGGAGAAAGCTACTATTCCTAAAGTATGGAAAGTGACTTAAATATGTCTATTGGTTTTGCTCGTGCATTGTTTGTTAAGAGGGCTTGTATGGTTTCCGGACTGAGAAAGGTTGTTGAAATATATAGCATGGTTAGTATTTGGTTAAGTGGCCATTGTATGGGATATATATGTACATTCATGTGTGTATTGTATCATAATGTCATTTAAAGGAAATAAACAATGCAACTTAATTCCTCCTCTCTAGAAGGGAACCATGCCTTCTTCTGCAACCAGTGCTCCATGGGATTCTTGACGGAGTCTTCGTTGACGGAGCACATTCAGCAAACGCACTGCAACTCCATCGCAGGGGGCGGATGTGTATCTGGAGGAGGGGTGGCCAAACTGGAGTCTCCTGTACTACAGACTGCATCGCAGTCCTTCATGGAGGTGAGAACTCGTCAATAATTACATTTCAGAAATGATCTTTCAGCCAGAGTTGAAAATAATTGGTGGTGGGCCTGCCTGGCTTTTGCACACGTCAACGCTATTACCAATCTGTGGTTGAGCTGATAAACAATAAGCTGGTTCCTATTTAATTAGGTTGTTTCCTTTACTCTGTCATGAGCCCAATTAAGTGTTAAATGATGCATACTGCTCATGCAATTCTGATTAATGATAATTTGACTCTATGAATTACTTCCTGAGTTGAGTCTGCAGTTACGGTGAGTCATTGCTGGTCTAAAATCGTATTTTTTATTACTTACTGCTTTTTTGTTCCCAAATTTTAATTAATGCAGACTTGACCGACCACAGTCAAAATTCTGTTAATCATCAGTCTATTATTTCTCAACTTAAAAGTTATGATGATGACTTAAATTGAATGTCTCTGCTTGTCTCCATGTCTCTCTGTCTTTCACTTCTTCTCTCTGTATCTTTCCAATATTCTGTTTTTCTCTTCAAGAACTAATCCACAGTATTTTGTCAATGTATACTATTCTTTAAAAAGTAAAGTTAAGAGTTCTTTTCCACGTACAGGTTTACTCCTGCCCTTACTGCACCAATTCTCCAATCTTCGGCTCACTCCTCAAACTCACCAAGCACATAAAGGAGAACCACAAGAACATCCCGTTGGCTAACAACAAACGGCAGGCAAAGGTCGCAGACCTAAGCCCCGCCTCCTCTGACATAGAGATCTCCTCCCCGAAGCGCCACAGGCTGGGAGGGGACTCCACCCCCTCCATGGGGAGCAACGGGGACTACCCGTGCAACCAGTGTGACCTGCGATTTTCCAGCTTTGAGGGTTTCCAGGCCCACTTAAAGTCACACCTGGAGATGCTGCTGAGGCGCCAGTCCTGCCCCCAGTGCAACAAGGAGGACTTTGAATCCCAGGAGGCGTTGCTTCAACACCTGACAGTGCACTACACCACCACGTCAACCCAGTATGTGTGTGAGAGCTGCGATAAGCAGTTCTCCTCAGTAGATGACCTGCAGAAACACCTGCTAGACATGCACACGTTCGTCCTGTACCACTGCACTCTCTGTCAGGAGGTCTTTGACTCCAAGGTCTCCATACAGGTGAATGAAACCTCTTCCTTCCTTTGGGTGTTACTTATTTTCCTTCATATTCACATCATATTTAATACATTAGTGGTACAACCGTTGAAATTCACCTACTGGGATTGCTTCTTTTTTCCACTTTCTGCCATTTAGGTGCATTTGGCAGTGAAGCATAGCAATGAGAAGAAGCTGTTTCGTTGCACAGCCTGTGCCTGGGACTTCAGGAAGGAGTCTGACCTTCAGATCCATGTTAAGCATAACCACCTGGGCCAGAGGTCAGGCCTCCCAGGGGGGCTCGGAGCAGGTAGTGTACATCTTCACTGGTAGGATTGGCTAAGTTTCATTCGAAAAGTAAACTGACTCTCTGAAAATAAGCACAATGATCTCAACAAGCAAAAGTCAACATTTAAATAAGAAAACCAACCCCCAAAAAATACCTGACAGAATTCTTGTGGGGTAGATTCAGCTTGAATCTGCATATCTTGACCCAAACTTTGTCCCACAGGACTCAAGCCCCGGAAGTGCATCTTCTGTGGTGAGACGTTTGGAACAGAGGTGGAGCTCCAATGCCACATCACCACACACAGCAAGAAGTTCACGTGTCGCTTCTGCGGCAAAGCTTTCCAGGCCATGTCACTGCTAGAGAGACACCTGAGGGAGAAGCACTGCTTCTTCGATGGTGGCAGCATCACTGGCAACGGGGGTGGCACAGGGAGTGGCGGGAGTCAAAACGGGACGCCCAACGGGCTGGCGCAGACCTCCAAGCGAGGAGGAGGAGGAGGAGGAGGAGGAGGAGGAGGAAGTGGTGGCAATGGAGGTGCAGGAGGCATTGAAAGAGCAACAGTGGCGGCGGCCGAACAAGCCGACCTGCAGAACATGCTGCTGAAGAGCGCAGTTGCGGGAGGAGGAGCTGGCCAGGGAGGAGAGGCAGCCAACAGCCACGAGGCAAGCGGAGGCGAGGAGGAGCTGGACAATTCGGAGCCCATGTATGCCTGTGATATCTGCGGGGCAGCCTACACCATGGAGTCGCTTCTGCAGAACCACCGACTGCGTGACCACAACATCAAACCGGGAGATGATGACGCTTGTAAGATTTGTTTTCAATCATCAACTTCTTGTTTATACCTTTTCATTATTATTTTACAGTTTAATACAGGACATGAAATATGTCTATCTGTATGTGTTATATGATGATGATGATGATAAAAGTCATTTCGTACACCAGGTTCTCGAAAGAAGAAGGCAGACTTCATCAAGGGGAACCACAAGTGCAATGTGTGCTCCAGAACATTCTTCTCTGAGAGCGGGCTTCGTGAGCACGCTCAGACGCATCGCGGCCCCGCCAAACACTACATGTGTCCAATATGTGGCGAGCGCTTCCCCTCTCTGCTAACCCTCACTGAACACAAGGTGCTGCTCTCTGGCCTGTATACGTGTATGGCAGTGTGCATGTCTTTTGGGCTATCTATGTATCACCATGTCATTTGGAGGTTTACACGTAGGGAACAAGTACAACCCTCATAGGTATAAAAACACTGCCGCCTCCTTTTCTTTTTCTCTTGTGTTACTTTTTGGTCACTTTCTATCTCTCTTTTGATCCAGAAGCTTCTTTGGCTGCTTTGAATTTAGAATGTTAAACTGTCCTAAGAGAGGCAATTACAGTACAGGAAAGAAACTATTGAAAAAATGTATTGTGTAATGCCGCTACAGTCAGTCAGTATTATACCAACCGTGTGTGTTTCTGGATATGCTTCTATGCTTTGATAAAAGGTCGTATCACTCACTACTTTTTGCATCATTATGTTCATACCTTTTGTGTATATTCCCTCTCTGCAGGTGACCCACAGTAAGAGCCTGGACACAGGTACCTGTCGAATCTGTAAGATGCCCCTGCAGAGTGAGGAGGATTTCATAGAGCATTGCCAGATGCACCCTGACCTCCGCAACTCCCTCACCGGCTTCCGCTGCGTCGTCTGCATGCAGACCGTCACCTCCACCCTGGAGCTGAAGATCCACGGCACCTTCCACATGCAGAAGCTCTCCGCCGGTTCTACGCTCGGAGGAGGAGCTGGAGGAGGAGGTGGGAATGGCGGAACAGGAGGAGGGAACTGTTCTGCCTCTTCATCCCCTAACGGGCAGCTGCTGCAGCACAAGTTGTATAAATGCGCCTTCTGCCTAAAGGAGTTCAAGAACAAAGGGGAGCTGGTGAAGCTGGATGTACACGGCCTGCCTTATGGCCTCTGTGCTGGCTGCATGAGCAGGTGGGTGGCCAACTTATAAACCCTGTGGATAATGCCGTGTGTTCATATAGAGATACTTCAGTGGACAATACTTAACTTTACTTTTAAATCAACAGCACATCGGTACAGCTTTGCCACAGAGTTTTAAACATGATTAAGTCTCTCACACATGTAACGCACATTATTACCGGGTTGAACACTTGGAAGCTTGGATTTAGTATTGCTGTCACTATCTTTTCTCCGTACTGGAGCCTTAAAGGGAAGGAAGTCTGCGCTAAATTTTGTTTAGCAACAGTTAATATTACTGAATTCAGCTAAAACAAATTTAAATGTTCAATCAAATCAGGGGCACAAACGGCCAGAGCCCCAGCCAGGGAGGACACGCCACGCCAGGGGACACGCAGGGAGAGAAGGCCATGGGCGGGCTCAGGTGTCCGGAGTGTGGGGTGAAGTTTGAAAGCGTGGAGGACTTGGAGAGTCACGTCCAGACAGATCACCCGGAGATCAGCCCTGAAACCAGTGCAGCAGGAAAGAAGGCTGAGGCTTCACCTGCACCTAAGGTGAGACAGGACAGACTGAGACAAGACAGAGAGATAAGTGCTTCTATGGAAACTTTCTTCTCAAAACCTCTCAAACCAAGTCTTTGGCGTTGCATTTTTACTAAGATGAGGAGGACATTTGGTAATGTGAGTAAATAAAAAATATCTCTAGAACACTGAAAACTAGAATCAGATTGGAATCTTAAATGTCAATACCTCTGTAGTGCTTCTCAACAAAAACATCAACACAAATGAACAGAACTGAGAGTACAAACTGCATTTAAAAGATGGAGACATTTTCAGGAGACTCAAAAATCCTGCTGTAGTATGTTTGCACGAGGTGTGTGTGGGTGTGTGTGAGAAGTATTGGTGCGTGCTGCTGCTTTTGTATCTGTAGCCTGCATACATGTGCTTGTGTGTATGGCGGTGTGTGTCAGCTGAGCCCCACTGGGTCCTGCGGCTGGGGCGTGCTGAGGCATTGTGGGAGCTGTTCGTTCTACTTGATATTGACAGTCAGGCTCCCCGGGACCTGCCACGTGTTTACGTGTGTGAGAGTGTGTACTTGCAAGTGAGCGTGTGTGTGTGTGTGTGTGTCAGAGGCAGTTCCTAGGGACCCTCTGTCTTACCTGCACCTTTGTTTCTGCTTAGTCTAACAGCACAAAGCAGACAAAGTAGGATTTTCTGTGTGTGTGTGTGTGTGTGTGTGTGTGTGTGTGTGTGTGTGTGTGTGTGTACTCAGTCTAGCAGGCTGAAGCAGCAGAGAGATAGTGGAAGTGGGGCCTTTGTGTATTTTGTATGTGTTTGTGCATGAGTGATCGCTGTGTGCTATGAATGGATAAGCAGAGCCTCTGCTTCTCTCTCTTGTTTCTCTGGCTCTTTATCTCTTTCGTCCTCTCTTGTCCTCTTTTCTTCTACACTCGTTTCCTCTGTTTCTGTTTCATTGCTTCTTCCCTTAATCTTTTTCCTGTTCACTCCCTCCCTTATTAATTTCTTTCTCTCTCTCTTTCTCTGCAGAGGCATTACGTGTGTGTGTGTGTTTGTGTGTGTGTGTGTGTGTGTGTGTGTGTGTGTGTGTGTGTGTGTGTGT